CGCCCAGGGGCTCGTGAAGCTCCTCCGCGCGACGCCGGGTCCTGCCGCCCCCGGTGGGGGTGGGGGGGTCTCTCCGGGTGTCTGGCCCCCTCTCTTTCCAGTGTGAAGCAGGGAATCCCTCGCTAATTTTAAGGCACTGATGACTTGGTTCCTTTCGCAGCCATTGTTCTTAGTAGCGTGCAGGTGTTAAACCTTTGTTCCGAAGGTGCCCTTTAAAAGACACACAAAGGTGTCCCCTCTGGCTGAGCTCAGGGGCCCAGCGCGGGGAAGGAGTTTACAAAGAGCTTTCTTCTGCCCGGAGCCTTGAAAGGAGAGTTGGGGGCGGAAATCAAAGCCGCCCGCACACCTTCGAGTGTAGGAAATAGTGACTCCTTTGGATCTGTCTCTCTTGTCTCGGTTTCTTCTCATCCTCAGACTTCCGCGCTTGAAACCCCCTCGCCGCTTCTAGGCCCCCCGCCCCCGCCCCGACACACACCTTTGAGGGTACGATCCGGAGCCCCAGGGATACGCAGTGCTAATACAGAGATGGTCACTGCAATTTCCTTTCTGTCTTTGACCCTGAACAGTGACCGGTTTGTGTATATGTGAGTGTCTCTGTGTCTTTGCATGCACCCGCAGGGCACCAGAGGCGGGACGACCAGGGACAAAAAAAAAAAAGAAAGAAAAAAGAAAAGGAGACAGTAGAACCTACCGCTACCCAGGAATTGGACATAGATCAAGAATTCATTGTCACTTAATTTTAGTTTTACTCACTGTTGTTTTTCCCGAAGGGGAGGGGTAAACGGGGTCCTGAGGAGTGGGGACCCCTGCTGTCTTTGCACTGGGCACTCTGCACAGCTTTGCTGCAAATAATGCATGACCCTTGTGCTATTAACCACAGGCTGCTTTGTGGACTTTATCTCATAGAGCGCTAGAGTGTTTCATCGTAGAACATAGGTTTTGCGGAGGTCTGCAATCAGTTTCGCAATTGTTCAGTTCATACCGTGCGGGTGGGGACATAAGAGACTTAAATATTGCTCTGTGCTCTTACTGAGCATTTGGCGTTTTGCATCTTCTCCAAGTTATCGACACCCACCCAGAACGACTGTGCCTAGTTAAGCAACACATTCAGTGGGCTATTCAGGGCTGGATTGACTTCTCAGAAGACCTACAACATTGCACAATAAGGTAGTCATCCTTTGAAATGAATGAATTCCACAGAGCTGCCACTCTCCTATGAAATATGCACAATCACTCAGCAGCGAGTGTTTTGTCTCCTTTTGCTCAACTTCGGTACAGCATTTTAATATTTTCCAAAGGCCGGATTTGCTTTTAGTAAAGGGACTCGGCGGCCAAATTCTGCAAACATCTTGCTATTATTTCTTTGTTTAAAGGCAGAGGTGACTCTGGCCCCTGCTCCTTTTTTCTGCCTTCAGATTCTTCAAGACATATTTCACTAAGGGCTGACCTTACAGTGTCATTTGCAGACTCGCTCTCTGGCCTGAAACTGTACTTAATCTGCTGGTTTAGTTATTGCAAAGATTGAATCAGCCCTTCGCCAATTACTGTGTGGCTGAAAGTGGATTTAAGTGCAGTATCATTGTTCTGCTTGACAGAGGTCATCCCTTTAAGACAGAGCAGCTTCTCTTTTCCTGCCTTTTTAGCCGAGGTGATGTGGGTGACTTCTTATGCAAGCATGGTTGTATATATCCTGAGAAGCTCCTGGTGGTTTTATAAGGCTGCTTCTGTGAACTACCCTCAGATGTACTGTGGACTCAACTTGGGGCAAGGCTCAGTGAAATCTACACATTGGTCCATTTCCTTTTGATGTCTTAGGATACAGAGTTCTTGTCTCCTAGATCTGTGTTGACCAGAGAAAAAAAGCCTTTGCAAAAATAGATCAAAGGTAGAGATGCCAGTTATTATAGAGGACTATAAAGAGAATTCTGTAGGACACTATTTGGGAGAAGAGAGATTCCAGGGTCATTTACCCAAAATAACCAACGCTGTTTATTGTCTCCATGTGCTTAATGTAAGCTAGGCAGAGGAAGGAAGGGTGCTTTAGGGGTTCTTTAGCTTATTGTTTTCATGGCAGTGCTGGTAGCTACTGTGCAGATTGACGTAATTACTATCTTGGCAGAATGGATGCTTTTTTTTTTTTTTTCCTGGCAGATGCTATTAAAGATGGCCCAATCTTACTGCTTTATCTGAACTGTCACATTATATAACTAAGGCTCCAAATTAAAGATTTAAAAGAAGCTGGCAGCCAGGCTTATGGCTTGATTTTGCACTTGAAGGTGATGGTTTAAATACCAATCCAAGCCCATAAATGCTTGTTATAGCTACTAATAAAAGTTTGGTTCCTACCCATTTGGGAAAACATAAGTACTTGCTTTATTTTTCATACTCTGTCCACCATCTTGGAATTCAGTCTCTATTTTTATAAAGGGTATGGCTACATTTTGAAGCCGCCACGAATATATTTGATGTTTTTGTTTTTAATTCTCTGCCCATCCAGTTTTTTTAGCAGTGGGGCAGGATGATAAAGATGCTGCGCAAAAATCACTTTTTAGTTTTTCGAAATGCACTTGAAGCAGGAAGCGTATCGTAAATAATCATAACTCCGTGAGCAGCGGCCACAGAGCCTGCAGCCTGGCGCTTAAGACCACGGCATCCCCGTTAACGCAGAGTGTTTACATTAGCCTCTGCAAAGCGTTTATTACTCTCTGTGAAATTTTTGAGGCTTTCCTGGGTTTCTGCTGCCTGCAGCCTGGGTGTTAAAGCTGACTCAAGCTTTTCAGAGTCTTAATTGAACGGACCTCTGAGGTCACTGCTCGGAGGTCATCATTGGACGGTATCAGGGTGTGATTTGTGGTCTCTGGAGATGCTGAACGACTCATTCTTAAATTCTAGGTTGTAGTGGTAGCAGCTGTGCTGCTTTCCTGAGATGCCTCATTATGGTTCATTCACAATGTTACTTTGCTTCCTCTCCCAGGGTTTAGCACCGGCATTCCCGAGGTTCTTGCTAACCTTGTTTGATTCACAGATTTTATTTTTTGAAACTAAGAGCCACTTAACTCGTGGATTCTTAAATGGTAGCCTGTGTTCCTGGCTGGGTTTTAGAAGGCCTGCGAATCCCCTTCAAACAAATCTAAAATCGTGCATGCGTTGGAAGATGGGCATTGTCAGCTAAGAAGGGACAGAGCTTTTATCAAATTCTGTTGTGGGATCTGGACCCAAGAGAGGTCAACAGGGTTCTAAATCAACGTCTTCAGTTTACGAGGAGGAGGGAGGCCCAGTGACCCTGAGAGCTTTATCCACCTCATCTAGATTAGTGATAGTTGAGCCAGGATTAGAGCCTCAAATTTGGTGATTTCTAGAGGCCAGCATTTCCCGCCCCCTCCCCCCCGCCCACTGCAAAATGAAGATCAAGAAATATCCTCATAAAAGAGAGATTTAAGAAGCTAAATGATGCTGAACTGAAAACATTAAGTGTATTGTTGCATTCCTGGCCTCAAATGCTTTCCAGCAAAGCGCCCCCACGCCTGCCCTCACTCATGGAGGCACAGAAGAGATTCATGGAATCCACAATCCCAGGCAGATAGTAAAACCACATTCCAAACCCAGGGATTTGTAGTCCTGATTGAGTGGAATTCTGCAAATGAATGAAAGCTTTTACTTTTAGCCTCAAAAATCCTCTGCAAGCTGATTCTTCTTAGGTCTGTTTCCGAAAGGTGTGGAAGGTGGTTTTCTTTTTAAATCACCCCCACAATGAGGTGGCATTTCACAGGCTCATTTTGATTCATAGAAAATCATTACATAACTGCTTCATTGAGCTAGCTATCCGTGGAGCGGGTAGAGAAAAGAAGCGTCTGCTTTCCTAATAACAAGGACTGCATCCTATTCCTAGCTCTGCCACTGGGGGCTCGATTTAACTTGTTCTCAGAGCCTCAATTTCCACATCTGTAAAATGAAGTTATTGAATTAGATGACCGTTAGACGAAGCCTAGATATTTAATCTATTAATTGCTAATGTGTCGTATAATGCTATACAACACAATTGCATAGCACAAAGTCTGTTGTCTGCCACTGGGTATAGCTGTATAGCGTTGGTGTACAATTTTGTTTTTCTTTTTGAAGGTAATTACGGTGTTGTCTCTGGAGCTTGGGGTGGCAGATTTTGCCTTAATTCTTCTATAAACAGGCGATCGGGATAGAGAGAAAAATAATAAAACTTACCATTCGTGTGCCGTGTTGCATCTTACAAAGCACTTTTATCTTCATTTTCTCAAATCATCCGCCCAGCACTGTGAGTACATATCATTCGCCCATTTTACACATGAGGACCAGGAGGCTCAGAGGGGTCAAGCGACTAATTCAAGGCCACCCAGCTGGTAGGACTCAGGGCCAGTGTGGTCGAGGTTCAAGTTCAGCACACCCCGTGTGGTCTCAAAGGCCCGTCCCTGTGGGAGGTGGCCGCATTCCGTGATCTGGTTGTATAAAAGGCGTCTCTGACCCTTGTTAACCCTGCTCCAGGTGTTTGATATCGGCTGCTATCAGGAGTCCCTGGCCCCGTGCTTCTGCCTGTCTGCTCACAGCAACATCAACCAAATCACCGAAATTATCCTGGGGGAGACCAAAGCCTACGTGTTCTTCGAGCGAAGCTATGGGGACATGCACTCCTTTGTCCGAACCTGCAAGAAGCTGAGGGAGGAGGAGGCAGCCAGACTGTTCTACCAGATCGCCTCGGCGGTGGCTCACTGCCATGACGGGGGGCTGGTGCTACGCGACCTCAAGCTGCGGAAATTCATCTTTAAGGACGAAGAGAGGTGAGTCTCATTCCCGTCCGGACCCGTGTGCTACAGCGGGCTGCTCAGAGGGGCTTGCTGGAGAGGTGGGGATGGGGACTTTTCTGCTGTCTGTTGTCCAAGTGAGGAGGAAGCCGCGAAGGACTAAGGGTGGTGGAGTGTCCTGGGAAAAACAAATCACCACTACTCTCAGGGTGTTATCAGATGCTCAACGGACAGGTGCACGGTAGTCTGTGACCCAGTCATTATTTCTGTTTTGGTGTCGTGAACTCCGAAGGTGGCCCCAAGCCTGGGTGGCATTTTCACTGTGAATAAGGCAAGATTTCGAAAATCCTACCTTCAGAACACTTGGTGGCTGTCCTTTATAATTCATTAATTCCCTCATTCCCTAGATCTTTCCTAGATATATATTAAGTATTACTCATAATTCTCAGTGCTATGAATGGCAGGATGCGTTTGCTAGTCAACTGACCTATAAAGAAAGTGTCACAGGCCCTACCTAAAGGTACGCAGTGGGCAGATGGGAAGCAGGGGCTGGGCTGTCAGTTCTAACTAGGATCCGGAGGTTTTCATAAGAGATGATCTTGGAGCCAAGACTCGAAAGATGGATGTGTTCTAGGCAGTGTGGGAAGGACCAGGGTTCCAGGTGAGAAAACTGCCAGAGCAAATACGCGGCAGTGGGAAGGTCTGGGCTATTTTAAGAGACGGCTGGATGAGATGCAGGGCATCTGGGTTCTATTTACGGTTCTTCCGTTAACTCATTCAGTTCTATTTAGCAGATCCCTCGGGGCCCTGCTTTCTCCTCCAGCTGACTTTGATTGGAAAGACTCTTTCGAATTACTTTTTTTTTTTTTTTTAATAATGTGCTTTTTTTTTAGAGGGAGTGGCGGCAACTGATTGATATTCATTGCCGACCCTCCCAAGGATTGTGATAGAGGCTCTGTGTCTGTGCTGTCACAGAATTCACATGACTGTCGCGGGCACCCTCCTCTTCGGTTAGGAAAGTGGTTAGCGAAATGGACAGTCCCTCGTCACGAAGCTGTCACCGAATACAAGTCTAGTTCCTATCATTCGCTCACTGGACACATCTGAATCCAAGTCTAGTTCTCATCGTTCACTCACGGGGCACATGTTTCTGGCATACCTTTTGTGTATCTGGCACGCACCTTGCTATCAAACCTTGCCTTGCAGTCAGTTTCCACCTATCCCAGTGGCCTGGGATGTTTTTAGGCTTGTGCTTATTTGCCATCTTCCGGTTTGAGAGGTGAAGGTCTGGGACGTGTTTGGGGATTGACAAAGGTAAGGTGCCTGTGGTTACTTAACCCAAATGGAATAATTTCATGAGCGTTTATTTATAATCCAGCTGTATGTGCAAAGTGCAGACAGCCATTGGGTTTCCTGGACCCACAGAGGTTGGTTATCGTTCCGCATTTTTACCCATGAAAGAGTTATCGTACGTATCTGCGGCAGCCAGCATCCTGGGCTTTGACAGTGGATGGCTTCTAGTTTTATTAACACACTAAAAGAGAGGGAGCTAGTCCAAGAGCCCAGTGAGGAATCATGCTCATCTTTCCTTCTCTTCAGCTCAGAAGCTTCTGCCCTTGGAGCCTGGAGATTCAGGTTCTTCTCCTGCTGTATTGCCTTTGATCCCCTGTGACCTTAGATTGGTCCTTTCCCTGTGGCCTCAAGTTCCTCGTTTTTTTATTATCCGGGTCTGTTATATTGACTCTAAGGTCTTTCTGAATTTTAACATTTCAGGTATGTGCTTCTTCGAATCGTCTTATTTAGAAGATAAATCAATAAATGTATGTGTGTGTGTGTGTTTGTGTATCTGACCCCACAACAGATTACTGACAAAGGTACCTTTTTTGCCCTTCCGTGTCCCACCTTCTAACTACAAATGTAAGAGGCAATTTGGTGACCTCTATAAGGTCTTACTGTAAGGTTATTGTTTAACTTACTTATTTCTCTCTACACATTGGAGAAGTGAGTATTCTCAGGTCTGTTTTATTGAGGAGGGCCCCGAAGGGCAGCATAGTGAAGTCTCAAAGTCGGACAGGAAAGAGCAGAAACACGGACATGTTCTCTGTTAAGTCAGCTCTCAAATTCATTTGCCTGGCAGACGGAGACAAGAAAAAGCGTGCCCTCTTTCACCAGGATCTGAGTTTTAAAGCATTAGCTTTGATCCTGAATCTTCCGAGAGACATTTCCGGCATCAGTGAGCACATGGGCAGCATGGCCGGCGATAGCACACCCGTGGCAAATGCAGATCTGTGGAGTGAGTCGAGGTAGGGCGGAGGCCCACGGGTCACAGAGGCACTGCTGAGGGTCCCTGCTTCAGTCCCCTCATTTTGCCACCAGGGAGCAGAGCCCCGGAGGTGAGGGTCCTTGCTCCAGTGCCCACAGCCAGCTGGAAGCGGATACGGGGCCGGGTCCGACCTCACACCTGCCGTTGCGGGGCTTCCCCCAGGTCTGACTTGCTCTATGACGATGTGTATATGAGGAGCATGTTGTGGCAAATCAAAACCCTTGATGGCCTAGGGCCTAGGGATAAACACCAAGATGTAAGAAGCTTCTCATACGAGGACTGTGGGTCACTCGTGTTCAGTCTAGAGTTATGTTTGACTCGTGCAAAAAAAGAAAAAAATGACCTTTTCTAGAAAGGACTAGAAGCATCCCACGAGCATGTGAAAGCAGAACAGAACACTGGAGGAAACGTATCAAAAGCTAAATCCTTTTTAATTTTAAGGAACATTTTTCTTTTGAAAAAGAAAACATTATGTGACTGGTAGGAAGCTGGTCGCCACCTGATCCTGGCATGTGTCAGAGCTCCTGGGTCCCCACAGCCCTGTTTCCTGAGGGACCACCAAAGAGGACGCTATCTCCCCCATCCGGTGGCCAAGGGGATGGCCACGCAGGGGTTACATGACCTTGCCCAAGGTTACACGGCCAGCGTAGTGATGCAGCCAGCCGAGAAGTCCTCCAGAGCCCACCCCACGTCCAGGCCCCGGTGGACTCGCTGTTCTGAACGCGACAGGTGTGAGTCTGAGCAGCTCTGAGAAGGTCGCTTCCGGTTTCAAGGACATCAGTGTTCTCATTAGTAGCTGGTAGGAACTTTTTTTCATCCAGCTATCAGCTTTATGTCAAAGGGGACGCGTGCTTAGTCACCTTTTTTCTTCTTATTTTGGTTTTTAACCTCTTGATTTTCGGGTGTGAGACTCCTGTTCTGTCCCTCGGCATATTTCTTCTGTTTTCCTGCAGCCACTGGGTTTCACGGCGGTCTCACTGTGTTGGCTTCACGGTGGTCTGGGGAGGGGACAGGTGTCAGGGGCCCTGGGACCTCCTTGGACCCTCAATGCTGGCAGCCCCCACCTTCCATCCTAGTGAATAGGACCTAATCAATAGGCATTTCGATAGGACTAAAGCTTCTTCTTCTACGCGACTGAAAGTCGGGGGGAACAATGGGTTGAATTTGAAAGTGAGATCATGGCGTCTGCTTGTTTTCTGAACCCTCATGCATTGGTCCTGGGGGGGCGTAAAGCAAAGGAGAGACTTGGAACGACTCTTTTATTAAGCTCCAAATCACCTTCGGCACATTGCTCTTCTCTCGAGGATTTGCTTCTTGTTCCTTGACAATCTTGAAAGTGATTAAAGGGGAAAATATTACCTGGTGAGACCAGCCGAGCCCCACCTGGTTCAGAAGAAACCTGCCTGTGGGCTGACTCCTTGTGCGTAGATTTTAAATTCTGTAACTGAATCCATGGCCCTCCGTGAGAACGTCCTTAGTGGAATGGTCAGCACCGTGGGTCCATTTTCCCACAAGTGGCTTTGCATACGTTGTACACAGGCGACACCCAGCATTATGTCGCCCTGATTCCCGTGTGCCTCCTGCTCTGTGTTGAATGAGCAGCACCTCAGACTCTTCTGCTGCGGCTTCTTCAGTTCTATTTCGATTTCGGTTCTAGATTCAAATTCCGGCTCTACCGCTTAGTAACTACCTGATCTTGGATAAGTCATTTGATGCTTCTGAGCCACAGTTTCCTCAAAGGCGAAATAATAATTGCATCCCTGTAGGCTGTGAAAGTTAAATAAGCTGATTCTGTGAGTCACGGAGCAGGGCGGGCACGCGCTAATGCGGCTGTTTCTAGAGTCATCGGTGAAATGGTCTCATTAAGGTGAGCACTCCCAGGCCTCCGTGGGTTCGTGGAGAACGTGGTCCATCTCTTGGGCAAATGTAATGGTTCAGATTGAAGCCACATCCTCTTCTCTCCTTGGTTTAATTATAGTCGCTGAATCGATGCTGGGAGGGCAAGTTCATGTGGTGTGGGACCTGCAGCCCGGAGAGGCACAAAGATTGACAAAATGCATGCAAGGGAAGGTGGCCACGAGGCCCAACCGGAGTAAAGGATCCCAGGGTACTGGGCCTGGACCAGCCAGCCTTTCCCGCCCCGTGCCGACACTGCTTTTCAGCCTCGGGATGTCTCCGAGCAAAGCCTCCTGCTTCCGTTTGCATTTTGGGGAAGTCAAACCCCTATTCTGATTGAATTTGCCCTGGGCGCACCTTTCACACCCACGGTGCCTGCAGTAAAGTATGAGTGAGCTGGGGCCCAGAATCTGATAGAAGCCAGTGTCCAAGTCCTAAAGGGTGTGCCTGTGTCCTCCGGCCCCCAGCCCCGCTGTGGTGTTGGTGACCTGCGTGACCAGCGTCGTTTAAGGCTCCCTGGTTCCATCTGGGCCTCTAAGGGGAGGCCTGCGCCTGCGGGAAGGCCGGTTACTCCCGAACGCAGTCGGAGGCACTGTCTGGATACCCATCTCTGCTCTTGCACTTGTCAGTAAACTTGGCCTTGACAGGTTAGCGAACCTCTTGGGCTCAGGTTGCCTCTTCTGTAAAGTGTCGAGATAATAAGACTCTCCTCATAGAATTAGTACAAGTGTACCCCACGCTTGGCCCGTACTCGGCAAGCGGTAGCTCGTGCCGTCCTTAGCCTCCCCTGCACTTGCGTCTGGACCCCTGGGTGCCA